ACACACACACACACACACACACACACACACACACACACACTTTACTAACACATTAAATAATGAGATCCAGAGATAAATTTCAAGCTTGGATGATGGTATATGTGCCACACTGTAATAAAATATAAAAATATCTTTGATTTTAACTGTTGACTAAGTCACAGGAATTATTACTACTTTTGTGATTTACTGCCTACATTCATAATGAGAGGAAATGCTAATTTTAGTTAAAGGCTAGGGAAACTGCTCTGGGCTTGTTTACAGGAGAAGTAAGACCTGGGAACAGAGCATCATGCTTGGACAATGAGAAGGTCAGTGAAGGAGAGGAAGAGCTTTGACAGGTGGATTGACCCAGTAACTACAACAATGGACTTAACCACAACAGAGATTGCAAAGCTGGCTCCAGATCTGGCAAAGTGCTCTCTGTTGTGCATGGAGACTCTATGTGCCAAAGTCCACTCCGTGGCACCAGTGGTTGTTAGATGCCATCGAGGTGACTCTGTCTCATAGCGACCCTGTGAAAACAGAGGAGAACCCTGTCCCATCCTGCATCATCTCATGATCTCCAACATGCTCAAGCCCATTGTTCCTCATTTCTTTAGTGTCTTGCAACCTGAGGGCCTCATCTTTTGCACTGTATCCAGCAATGTTCCTCTATTTTTCATAGCATTGTCTAAAGCCTCTTATTTAGGAAGTAGATGATCAGCCCTGCTTCTTAGCTGTCTTAGTCTGGAAGATCCACTGAAACCTGTCCATCATGAGTGACCCTGCTGGTATTTGAAATACCTGTCACATGGCTTCCATTATCATAGTAGCATGCAAGTCATCACAGTACAGCAAACTGACAGACAAGTGTTGGACCCATAAGGCACCTAACCATGTCAAAAAAGAGGCTATAGGAATTGAAATACCTGCCTCTGTGATTTCTATCCTTGGAGGTTAATGTTAGTTAAAATCCCTGTTTAAAGAGTTAAGTCTTCATAGGATCAGTAGGATCTCATCTTACTTGGCTCTGGGCCCTTGTGAGGGGGATGTAGTCTCAGGCAGTTTAATGCTTCTTACTGAGGGAGAGATTATGAAGACAGACAGGCATGGGAGCCTGAGAGGGAGCCAAAAGTTGGCAGTTGACTGTATCAGTGCCAAAATGTGCTCACTATGCATTCCTCTGCACAAAAGTAGAGAATTTATAGAAAAACATTTTCTGTTTGTGTTCATGCTGAGTCAGCCTGTCATTATGCAAGGACTGCTCCCCAGGGACACAGCTCCACACTCCCTGGCATTGCTTGGTCAGTTCTGGTGTTAGAACATCAAGTGGCCCTTTCGGTTCCTAAAGGAACCATGGTTCTAGCACACTCTTAGGGAGCAGATTGATTCAATGAGAGTCAAATTGCCAGCCACAACCTAGAAATAAGACATTTTGGCTTTTCTTTTGCTTCTCAGCTTGAACTTTTTCTGTGATACTCCCGACTTCCGTGTCCTGGCCTGTGGAGGAGATGGGACAGTGGGCTGGATTTTGGATTGCATTGGTAAGAATGGGATGGGAGGGCCTTTACAGTTTATTTACAGTATGCATTTAAAGCCAGCAGAAGGCAATTCAAAAAAAGAGGGCAAGAATGAAACTAGGTCTTCTTAATCTAGTCCAATGATTCAATAAAAGTAAGGGTGTGTGTGTGTGTGTGTGTGTGTGTGTGTGTATCTGCTGAAAAAAAAAGTAAGGGAATATAACAATGGAAGGATTCCCACAGCTACAGATGATACAGTTTAGTCCCAGGTTTTGCCTCAAAACATATATCTCCCTTGAAAGATTAGACTAATTCCCCAAGGAGATGAAAAAGGATGAGTAAAGTCATCAGTATTGTACATGGATTGTGTTCTGGGATGAGCCAGGGGAGGTAGACAGTTCTGTATGCTTTACTTCAGATCCTCAACAAGAGATATTGACACAGTGATGTGAACAGGGGTTCACATCACAGACTGTGGGGCTGGTGCAGGATGCCACAAGGGTCAGATCTGGTTTTGGTAGGGTTGCTATGAGTGGAAATCAATTTGACAGCACCTAACAAAAACAATATGCTCTATTGAACCCCACAAGGTACTATTTAATATAAATCTGTTCTGTGCTTTCTTGCAAATCAAAACAATAATTTTTTTATTAAAAAAATAAAGATACCTCATGTTGTGGAGTTTGGGACAGTCATAGCAGCCAAGGGGTAGTTGGGGATGAGAAGGGCCATGACCAGGATTCCAGGCAATTCTGTGGTGTCAGTTAAAGACCAGAGAGCTAAGCAGGTAGACAGCCCAAGTCAATCTATCTTGAAGGGACACCTGGAGCCTGAATCCAGAAGGTACAGGTGGAAAGCAGAGGTCACTGAGTGAAGAGAAATAGCACATAGCCTTGTGTCATACAGGCAAAAATCAGAACATGTCCAACTGGTAATCAGACGGTCCGGGTTCTCAGCCAGCTCTGCCTGAACCTATGGGTCTTAAACGCATCACTTCCTTTTAAATTGACTGTGACGTTCTGGGATGTTGTTGTTAGGTGCCATCAAGTCTAGTGCAACTCATAGCGACCCTAAGGACAGGAGACTTGAGCCGTGTTCTATGCTATGGCATCTTCTTACGCACTTGACCTCATTGCTACAGTCTCTGTGTTGAACCATCCCATTGGGAGACTTACTCTCTTTGGCTATGCTTCCATCTTCCCAGGCATGATTTCCCTTTCCAAGTAATAGCCTCTGCTAGCAACATACCCAAAGTCTGAGAGGCAAAGCTTCACCACCTTTGTCTCCATGGAGCATTCTTGCTGCACTTTCCCCAAGACATACAGACATGCCTGTTCTCTTGACAGGCCATGTGATATTCAGAACTCTCCTCCAGCACCACAGCTCAAAGGCATCAATTCCTCTCTTTTATCCTTAGTCACTGTCCAGCTCTCAGATGCACAGCAAATGATTGAAAAGACCATGGCCTGAATCAGGTGCACCTTAGTTTTCAAACTGACATTGCTCATGCTAATATGATGCAAATACCACAAGTGGTGGCTCTACAGAACAGAAATTTATTTCCTCACAGTTCTGCAGACCAAAAATCCAAGCCAGATTTTTAGTTGTGTAGACCCTTCTTTGGCAGTTGCTATTGCTATGTGCCATTGAGTTGCCAGCAACTCATAGTAACCCTACACACAATAGCTCTGAAGCCTGCCCCGTCATGAGCCAATCTCACTGACTCCACCACACCTACCCCTATTACCTCAGTTACTTTGTCAGTCCATCTCATCTGGGGGTCTTCTCCTGCGTTGTCCCTTCACTCTTCTAATTATGATGTCCTTTTCCAAGGATTGGTCCCTCCTAGCAACATGCCCAAAGTATGTGAGATGGAGCTTCAAAATCCTTGCCTCCAAGGAGCAACTTGGTTTCACCCTCTCTAGGACAGATCTGTTTGTTCCTTTGGCAGTCCAGAACAACTAGGCTGTTCTCTTGGCAGTATGTCCAATACTCTTCTCCAGCACTGCTACTCAAAGGCATCAGTTCTTCTTCTGTCACCCTGGCTCATTGTCCAGCTCTCTGATGCATAGACAATTCCTTGGTGTTCCTTTGTTTTCAGATGATATCTTTCCTTGTGTCGAAGTGTCTCCATGTTTAATCTGCCCTTTTTATAAGACAGATGATGAGGCCTAACCCTGGACAGCCCAGATAAACACTGTGAATGAGACACACAGGCAGCAAAGTAGCCAAGGAAGGCCTGGAAAGAGGGTCGCCAACATTAAAGACTTGGCCCAGAGAGGGGACCCCTGGCTCTCTGTATCATTGACCCCACAAGGCTGCCTAAACAGCTCCATACCAAATTCCCTTCAAGGCACTGTGATACAGCAATGACTAAAACAGACAAGAGTCCTGCCCTTGTAGTATTTACCACCTAAGAGATGGGGATAAAAAAGAAATAAGTGAAATATCAGATGATAAAATTCTGTCATCATCTAGCACCAAGGGACCCAGAGGTGCTCCAGGGGTAGGGTACCATCTAAATGTCATGGACGACCTTGCAGCCCAGATAAAGGAGGTGAGGAGTGAGCCATGTGGTTACCTGCGAGAGAGCATTCCAGGTGGACGAAACAGCAAATGCTAAGGTCCTGAGGTGGTTGCAGGCCTGGTCTGTGAAGAGCAAGACAGCCAGTGTGGCCTTTAACCGCACCAAGGGAGTGAAAGTGGATGAAGGCAAAGACAATGCGAAACTGCGCCATTAGGACTGCAGCACATTCTCAGCAACATAACTTTCATCCTGGGAGAGCCTCAAGTCACGGGTGGTTTGAGCAAAGCAGGGAAGTTCTAGATGAGAGAGAAAAGGAAAGATCAGGGCTCTGGTTACGAGGCAATTCCTGGGCAGTGCAATTGCTTACTGCATTCAGCTGCTAACTCGAAAGGTGGAGGTTCAAGGCCACCCAGAGGTGACTAGGTAGAAAGGCCTGGAAGTTACTTCTATTGTTGTCAGGCACCATCAAGTCAAGTACAATTCACAGCAACCCTGTGAACAACAGATCTGAACCCTGTCCTATCCTGTGCCATCCTCACAATCTCTGACACACTCAAGCCCATTGCTGTAGTCCCTTTGTCAGTCCACCTGGTTGAGGGTCTTCCTCTCCTTCTCCATCCCCCTACCTTTCTACATATGATGTTATTTTCCAAGGAATAGCCTCTCCTAGGCTCTGGACTTATAGGCAACATCATGATGGACAGAGAAAGGATTGGCGTGGTTAACAACTTCATCTAACTTGCATCCACAGTCAATACGCTTGGTGCCAGCAGTCAGGAGACATATTGCACTGGGAAGGTCTGTAGTCAGGGACCTCTCCAAAGTGAGGATCAATGATGTCAGTTTGAAGACTAAGATGCACCTGATTCATGCAGTCACTTGCTATGCATGTGAAATCTGGACAATGAATAAGAATGGCAGAAGAAGAATTGATGCTTTTGAACTGTGGTGTTGGAGAAGAATGCTGAATATCCCATGGCCTGCCAAGACAACAAACAGATATGTCTTGGAGAAGAGTAGCCAGAGTGCTCCTTCCAGGCAAAGATGATAAAGCTGTCTCACATAGTTTGGGCATGTTTCTAGGAGAGGTCATTCCTTAGAGAGGGACATCATGCTTGGGAAAGTAGAGGATGACAAAGGAGAGGGAGATCCTCATTTAGGTGGGTTGACACAGTGACTGCAGCAATGAGCTTGAGCGTGTCAGGGATTGTGAAGATGACACAGGAAAGGACAGGGTTCAGATCTGTTGTTCATAGGGTTAGTAACTATGAGTTTTACTCAACTCAGCAGCACCTAACAACAACATGCCCAAAGTATGGGAGACACAGCTTCACCATCCTTGCCTCCAAGGAGCATTCTGGTTGCACCTTCTCCAAGATATGTTTGTTCCTTTGGCAGTCCATGGGATGCTCAGCGCTCTTCTTGAACACCGCAGTGCAAAGGCATCAATTTATCTCCTGTCGTCCCTGTTAATTGTTCAGCATAGCAAGTGATTGGAAAGACAATGGTCTGAATCAGGCTGACACGTCAGCTGTTGAGCACAGTTCTACTCTGACACACAGGGGCCTTATAGGAGTCACAAGCCACTCAGTGGAGACTGGTCTGGGCAGTAAACCCAGGGAGGGATGGTGTTAGCCTGGGCCATTGCAGAGCAGAGGAGGAGGTAAAAAGCGGTCAGATTCTGGATCTCCTTTGAAGCTTGAGCCAACAAGGCTTGTGGACAGATTGGACGTGGGCGATGAGGGGAAGAAAGGAGCTCAGGGAGGGACAGGATTAGACCCTGAATCCAGGGCAGAGCAAGGCTGGGCCTGCAGGGTGGGTGAGTGGACCACCTGCAGGGTAGAGGAGGAGGCTTGGGGACAGGCACACCTGCCTCATGCCACTCCCCACAGGCATTTGGTTTCCATGGACACAGCTCCTGCTCCACTGAACAGTCACCCACGCACTCCTGTCACCCCGGGCTCTGGGGTTGTTAGTGGGAGGAGGGAGAGGTCTTCTGGGAGCTGAGAAAGGAATAGCTGACGAGCAGAGGAGGGATGGCGGCGGGATCCGGAACCTCTTCTACGATTCCCCGTCCTTCACAAAGACCAGGGAAGGGACCAGCCTTTGGAGAAAGCATCTTATATAATTAACGTGTAGAAGTCGTGAGATAAACTGCACAAAACAGTAAGAAGGGTTATGTGAGAGAGATCTGTTAATATTTCCACAAGTTAACAGCCAAGGAGGAAAACAGCAACACAAGAATGCCTATATGCTGTTCACTCATTCAGTCAGTGGGAAAATTATTATTAAGCACTGTTCTGAGCTGACACCCCAATTTTGTTCCATCTCTTATCTGCTCTCCTTCTATAGCCAGAGTGACTTTTGAATGGCATTGGGTTTCCTGTTGTTCTTGGGATTAAAACAAAAAAATTCTACAAATGATCTACAGGGCCCTGGGTGGTTAGCCTCTGCTTATCTCCACAGCCTCATTCCACATCTCCTGGCTTCTCCCTCTGGACTCTGGCCACCCAGCCTCTTTCTTAAGCCCATGGAGACACCAGTGCCCCTTTGCCCCACCACAATCTCCTCTCAGAAATACACCTAAACCTTTGCTTGATCAACTTTTAGCTCAGTGCTTGGCTAACACACAGTATTCTGGAAGATCCTGTCTGACACACTCGCCCTGTGTCAGTCATCTTATCACAGGACTGTGCTTCTTCCCTTTCCAGCACGAATTTGAAATTGTGCTTTCTTCCTAGGCAGGCCTTCCTGGTATATGTTTGTCTCTCACTAGAGCCCAGAGCTCCTTCAAGAGTGTTAAGAACCAGGAAAGCCTGAGACATTACTTTCTTTTGCCCCTTGTTAGAGACCCAGCACCTTGCACAGCATCTCATACATAGTAGGCCTTCAGTAACTGTGCAGTGAATAAATGTGTGAAATGGAAAGAGAGTCAGGAACTATCTTAATGTTTTGAAGATGATGAGATGGATAGAACACAGTTCTCCCCAGAGAGATTACAAATACATATGTTACGTTCAGAGAATAAACAAGGTGGCAATTATAAGGGAGTGTAATGAGGTCATCGCTGGTGCTAAGGAGACACTCTGAAGAGGCAGCTGAGGCAGTCAGGGAGGGCTTCCCAAAGGTGACATCTGAACAAAGTGCTTTCGATGTAAATGACCTGGAGAAACATGAGCATTTTTGGTGGGTTGAGAGACGGAGAGTGGAAGAATGAGGCTAGAGAATGAGATGCTAGATGCTGAAGAGACTAATGCCCTGGGAGAGGGGAGAATGGGGAACAATAGCAGACGTGTCAGCAAAAGACTGGCAGAATCAGACCTGTAGTTAAGGGAGGAGGCCCTCCTTGGTAGAAGTGCAGAGGACACACTGGGAGGGTTGACCTGGCGGGCTGAAAGAGAAAAGAGGCTGGAGCACCAATTTCTGTGGGAAAGAATCATTCCTGAATCCAGGCACACCTGTGGAGAGATTGCTTGGCAATCTGAAAAGGATATAACATGTAGAAATCGGGGTCGATGGATGTGGGATGAGAGAGAAATTGGGAGGATATCCAGGCTTCTAGCTTCAGTGCCAGGAGGATGGCAGAGTTGCCCGCTGAGATGGAGATGTCAGAAGACCAGACAGGAGTAAGGGCACGTCAGGCAAAGGGACCAGCACGTGCAGGGGCAGAGACGCATCAGTGCAGATCGGGTCTCTGCAGCCAATGAGAGATCCTGGCCTTCATCTTGGTGTTCTTGGTGAACTCTTGCTGTGCTCAGCCACTTCTAGCCTGGGTCTGACAACCTACGCCACCTCCCGATTCTTACTTTGCCTGGGAAGCCAAATCATGAGCTTCACCTGTTAGTTCCCACATTGTCCCCGTGCTCGCCAGATGCTCAACACCAGGGTCACCATGGGAACTGGGGTTCTTTGGAAAGAACACCTCCATTCCTAATGTGTGCCTGTGCCTTCTTCAGCAGCTGCCATAGACCTCAATTCTTTAGCCACATTAAAACACACATCCTGGTGCATTCTCTGACAGACAGTCAGATGCTCCTTTACAACTAACAGTGGAGATAAGATTACGGATTTGTATATCTGCAAGTACGGGAAGTGGGGGCAATGGAAAACTTGTACCTGGGGGCCAAAGAACACCTCAGTGTTTCCCTTGTCTGTCACAATGCTGTTATTATTAAACTTTTGAATCTGAATGACTACAGGTCATTCATTGCTCACTTCCCCAATGCTTCACCACTCGCCACTATTTCACTCATATATGCACCTGCTTAGCCCTTAATGAGTAGAGGAACGTAGCTTGAACCACACAGATCTGGGTTTGGATCCTGCTACTGTCCCTTCCTGAACCTCAGTTTCTTCATCTAGAAGAAAAGGGTAGTCATACCTCAGGAGAGTTGGCCTTGGAGATAAATGAGCTAAGTACTGGCTGCCATTAAGATTAAAATTGACATGAGTGCTGGAGCCTCAGAGGACAGAATGAGGATGGCATGAGGACAGAGGTTCAAGTTGCAGGGAGACAGCTTTGTGTACGTGGTAAAGAATCCTTTGTAGTGATTGAACTGGTGCAGAAGGAATGTATGACGTTAGGAAGTAGTGTGCTTCCTGTCATGAGAAGCATTCAAGCAAAGAATCCTATGGAGGGCTTCAGGCATTAGATCAGGGATAACCAGATACTTCAAACATCCTGTAACCCCTTGGTATGGTTCTCTCTTCCTCTGAATGGGCTGCAGATAAGGCTAACTTCTCAAAGCATCCACCAGTGGCTGTCCTGCCCCTTGGAACAGGAAACGATCTTGCTCGCTGTCTCCGCTGGGGAGGAGGTGAGTGCATCCCGGCAGCTCTGCCCTGGGGACGAACAGTCCAGTTTACAGGGATGGTCTGCAGATCAAGGCTGATCTACGTACTCATTCCACAGAGGAGTTCTCATCTCTAGAGTCACATGGACTCCATAGTCAGGGTGGTGACCAGATCTCACTGGTCTCCCTCCCCACCCCCAGTACCCATCCTGGTAGGGGCTCTCTTACATAACTGTTTTCTGCATGAAATTATCCTTCCCTGAATTGCTCCTCTTCTTCTGAATTGGGACTAGGAACACAGACACAAAAGTCGCATCAATAGCTACTTGCAATCTGGAGGGACATCCTGATTATCCTAGATGCTCATGGCAGTGGACCTTTGTTTTGAAATCCCAGTCTGCCTGAGTGATACCAAACTAAAACCCACTAACCCCAACTCCTAGTGACCCTAGGGAACACAATAAAATAGCCCATTTAGGGTCTCCAAAGCCATAAATCTTATGGAAACAGACTGCACACCTTTCTCCTATGGAGCACCTAGTGGCTTAGAACTGCTTTGATTAATAACCAAGCATTTAAGCACTGCACCACCAAAGCTCATTTCCCGATGGAGAACAGGGGGCAGTAACATGCTTATAATGGAGGGGTGATGGTTAAACAGAACTTGACAAACCAGCAGTGCTGAGAACCTGGTCCCAGAGTGGAGATGCTCACGTCAGCCAGTGGTGCCAGCAGATGCGTCTGGCAGGAAGAAGGTGCCCGCGTGGCTCCAGATGACCAATCGGTTCAGTGAACAACTCAAGACCAGGCAGAGCAGTGGTCAGTAGACAGAAATGCGTTCATGCTTGATTGTTGTTGGTAAGTGCTGTCAGTTCAGAACCAATTCACAGCTAACCCTCCAGCAGGTTTTCAGAGACTGCAAATCGTCTTTCTCCTGAGGATCAGCCTGTGGATTCGAACTGCATGCCTTCAGGTTGGCAGTGCAACTCCTTACCAGAGGCAAAATGAGGAAGAGCTAGCCCTACAAGAAGGCTGCAAGCACAGGAAGAGCTACCATGTTCATCCACCCCCCACTTAGGCCTGGGAAGAGCCCCTCTTTATAAGGTGTGGACAAGGTACCCTTGGTCCCACACTCTGGTCATTTAGGCAGCATTGTTGTTCATAGCGACCATCCAGTCAACTCTGACTTTGGCAATCACATGTCCAGGAGGGTGAAGTCCCACCTGATCCCACACTGCCATCGTTATATTAGAGTGCTTGAGCCGGTTGTTACAGCTGCCACGCATTTTGAGTGTCTCCTGGCATTAGGTGTTCATTTGTGGTGCTGTATCTGACACTATCTCTACTGAGATCCACTGGGTTTTCACTGCCTCATTTTTAAAAGTGCCTTGTCTGTCATAGTTTGGATGCTCCACTGACACTGGTCTTCCATGAGTGACTCCGTTGTAATAAACGCCTTCTGGGATTATAGCAACACAGAAGCCACCACAATATAGCAAGCTCACAGATGTATGGGGGAAAGACAACATTGTTGGTGTTCGTGTTAGGTGCCCTCAGGTCGAATACTATTCAGCAATCCGATGACAGTCGACCTGAACCCTGCCCTCTCCTGTGCCACCCTCATCATCTCCAACCCTTCAAGCCCACTGCTAAAGCCACCGTGTCACCTCATCTCATTGGGGGGTCTTCCTCTCCTCTGCTGACCCTCCATCTTTCCAAACATAATGTGTCCCTTTCCAAGGAATAGCCTCATCTAGTTACATGTCCAATGTATGAAGGACAAAGCTTTGCTTTCCTTGCCTCCAAGGAGCTTTCTGGCAGCACTCTCTCCAAGATGTATATATTGGTTCTTTTGGCAGTCCATGAGATATTCAATGCTCTTCTCCAGCATCACAGCTCACTAATAGATACAGCCCTGCATGTGTTCACCAGTCTATGCCAGGAAATTTGGAGGACAGTTATTTGGCCAACTGACTGAAAGAAATCCAAATGTGTCCCCATTCCCAAGAAAGGTGATCCAACAGAATATGGGAATTATCAAACAATATTATTACTATCTTATACAAGTAAAATATTGTTTAAGATCATTCAAAATCAGCTAGAATAGCACATTGACAGGGAACTACTAGAAGTTTAGGCTGGCTTCAGAAGAGGCTGTGGCACCAGGGATATCGTTGCTGATGTCAGATGGATCCTGGCTGAAGTCAAGGAGTACCTGAAAAATGTCTATATGTGTTTCATTGACTATATGCAAAGGCATTTGACTGTGTGAATAATAACAAATGATGGCTAGCATTGAGAAGAATGGGAATCCAGAATACTTTATTGTCCTCAGACAAAATCTATACCTAGACTAAGAAGCTGTTGTCCAACCCAAGCAAGGGAACACTACATGGTTTAAATCAGGAAGGGTGTGCATCAGGGCTGTATCCTTTCTCTATACCTATTCAGTCTGTATGCTGAGCAAATAATTCATGAAGCTAGACTTTATGAAGAAGAATGTGGCATCAGGACTGGAGGAAAATTCATTAACAACCTGCATTATGCAGTTGACACAACTTTGTTTGCTGAAAGTGGGGAGGACATGAAAAGCCTGCTGCAGAAGATCAAGGACTACAGCCTTCAGTATGGATTACTGCTCAACATCAGGAGGACAAAGGTCCTACCGCAGACCCCACAGTCAGCATTATGGTGGAGAAGAGATTAAAGCTGCCAATGATTTCCTTTTTCTTGGATCAGCAGTCAATACCTTTTGTACAGCAGTCAAGAAATCAAGAGATGTATTGCATTGGACAAGACTACACAACGAAGCATACATTTTATGCAAGAAAGCCAGTATTGTGCTCACAGACAGCCAAAGGGCCTGAGCTACACGATTGCTATATTAGTTTTGTGGGGCTGCCATGACATAGCACAAACTGTATCCCTTATGTTGTTGTTTTTGTTATGTGCCATCAGGTTGGACTGCCCATCTTTTTCCCACACATGTTTTTAAGAACAACAATTTGTTTTATCACAGTTTGGGGAGCTAGACACTAAATCAGCACTCTCCCTCTGATGTCTCTAGGGGAAGAGCTTTTCTTGTCTTTCACAGCTTCTGGTAGCCCCAACTCCTTCTAGATGTGTAGATGCATTTTCACACGGCCACCCTTCATCTGTGTATTACTTTCTAAAGGTACCACTCATACTGGACCAACATACTGGAGGCCTGGTGGCCTAGTGGATAAGAAGTTGCACTGCAAACCTAAAGACAAGAGGTTCAAATCCACCAAATGCTCTGAGGGAGAGATATGGGCAATATCCTCCAACGCAGTTGACAGACTCTGAAAATCCACTGGAGGGGCAGCTGTGAATCAGTTTCAACTCAAAAGCACATAGCAACAACAGTAATACCAGTATGACTTCATGTAAAAGGAAAGCATTTTCAAAGATCCTGTTTCCAAACAAGGTCATATTCCCAGGAACAGAGATAAAGACTTCAACATATCTTTTGGGGGGACTTCCTTAAGCAAAGGGCAATGTAGGTCATTGCTGACTGTGTGGTAAGGATCAGTATAAATTAAATACCCAAAGTGTGAAAATGCATACATTCTTTACCCTCCTATCCCCATTCTCTCCATCCTAACGAGCTGCTACCCAGGGCCAAGCCAAAGCTCATAAGTTAAAAGGACACTTTCCTTCAGACTTCCAGATAAGCAGATACCAGCCTTGCCATTTCTCACTGCCCTTGTGGGTTCATTCATTCATTGGAACAAATCACAGGCTTCATGGAGAGTCTAACATACAACCACTGCTTTATTATAGCCAGAAAGAACACAGATGGAAAGACAGGGTGAGGCTAGGGAGGAGTCCCAGCTCACAGTCCCCTTGTCCCGAGGGCATGCACTGCCCCACCACCACTGCCCTCACACAGCACAGGGTCTCTTACAAACGTATCTGAGCCCAAAGCTCCAGGCCCCAGATGGCCAGGAGAGATTCCAGGGTGCCTCTGGAGAGGAGTCTGCATGGGCCCCTTTGGAGAGACCTTGCCCTTTTGTTAGCCTGAGGTGTGGTCCGCATCTCAGAGGCCTAGGCCAAAGGCCACATTGCTTATAACCAAGTGAGTCACTACCTTACAAAACATGACTCAATCCACAACAGTTGCTATCTTGTGAGGAATCCCCTGAGTAACTAACCAAATTCCAAATAATTTGAAACTACCTTGCAAGGTTGTCCTAAAAGTAAGCAGCCACCTAGAAGGTGCTGTTTGAAAGAAAAGACACTTCTCTCCCCCTCACCTCTCATTACTTACAATTCATTCATTGTGTGTATCTGTGTTCTAATACCACACGTCGGTCCGTTTGCCTGCTATACTGGCACGTATGAGGCTGTGATGCTAGGTGCCGGGCCACCAGTTCAGATGCCAGCTAGGTCACCCAGGCTGGGCACTTCAATGGTGCTTCTGGACTAAGACAAGGAAGAAACAACAACTGCTAATAAAATTGGCCAGTGATAAAACTGAGGCGGAAGGGGAGCTCTGGTGACCTAGTGGCAAGAATCTGTACTGCAGTCTCAGAGGTACTGAGTTCAAACCACCAGATGCTCTGCCGGAGAAGGAGGGACAATTTCCTCCTGTACCAGTCAGATCTGATTTGACGGTACATGTACAAAAAATAATAATAAAAAAATCTTTAAAAAAAAAAACTGAGGCAGAGCAGAGAAATGGTGTCTGATAAGCGGCCCTGATGATGCAGTGATTAAAGCATTCCAATTCTAACCAAAAGGTCAGTGGTTTGAACCCACCAACCCAGAAGAAAGAGGAAGTAGCTGGCTTCAATGAAAATTCAGATCCTTTGAAAAATCTATGGGCAGTTCTCCTCTGACCCATGGGCAGGTCACTATGGTTCAGAATCAACTTGACGGCATTGGACTTGTATTTTTGGTTTTGCCTGATAGGAGCTCTAATGACCTAGTGGGTGGGGAGTTGTGCTGCCAACCCAAAGGCTTGAGGTTCGAATCCACCATCTGCTCCTCAGGAGGAAGAT